ACTGGGAGTCATTGGTACGCCGATTAGCCGGATGGATAACCAAAGCCACTGTCCAGTCAGTTTGTCTTCAGCCTTTACCGTCTACTATTTTAACCTGCGGTGCCCAGTATTAGCGCCATGAAAAGGATTATCGACCACTTAGCTGACCACAACTCTGAGGCCCGCGCCGTATGGAAGGCAGCTCACTCCAAGTCGGCGGCGCCTGAACCCGAATCCCTCCCTGACTCATCTATCTCACAAGCGGCGACAACTCCACCTCCGTAAGACTTTGTCCTTTTGCATTAGTATATCGCTCATGCTCCAACCTAGGGCACGAGCGTCGACCCATGCAACTAGAGCGAGAACTAGAGCACTAATACCAGTCTCTAAGAACGGAGATCTCAAGCCTGCAAAACCTCCTCTGCAAGACCCCGATGAAATGTAAGAGATTTCATTTTGATTCACCATACCGGAGCCTGACACTGCATAGTATACTTGTATACCCTCAGAGCGGGACAGGCGCAGTTAATATCAACCGGGCGGAGCTAGCCCGCTTGGAGCCAGGGGAATTTTTGAACGATACCCTTATTGAGCTTGGTCTTAAGTATGTTCAAATGTTCCAGGTCGTCCTTCGGCCCTAGTGGCTAATTATATCCCGCTAGGTTATGGCTCAGCGACCTGCGTATGAAAGACCCAGAGCTCGTAGAGCAAGTTCATGTCTTCAACTCTTTCTTCTTCAAAAAGCTTGATGGAGGTCGTGGTCAGCCATGCGACTACAAGAGTGTCAAAAAGTGGACCTCCAAGCTTGACTTGTTTCAGAAGAAGTTCATTATTGTACCGATTAACGAGCAGTACGCATTTTTCAAATTCTTCCCTACATAATACATCTGACACATTTTCAGTCTTCACTGGTACTTGGCCATTATATGTTTCCCCGAGTTCGTTCTCCAGGCTCCCCCTCCACAGCCGCCTCAACCGCCAGCTCGAAAAACACGCTCAAGTGCGGCCACTGCGAAGCCTGAAGAGCCACGACTGTCGCCGGAGAGTGAGGTTATTGATCTCGAACAGGACTCTGTCCTAGATATTGAAAACATTGGATCTCCTACTGTGCCAGGGCACATGGATGTTGACGATGATCTTGCTGATCAATCTCTGAGGATGGCGATTGACACTGAAATGACATTGGAACCCCCACAAGCCGAGGGTAGCACAGAGGCGATGGGAGGAATGATGGAGGTGGAGACACCTGTACTGGATATGACCAAGGATGAAGAGTACATTATTGCTGGAGAAGGAACTCCGTGAGTATTTGCAGCTTTTTGCCAGAATGATACAGCTAAAGCCTTTTTGTAGGAACAAATGTTCGATTATTATCCTGGACTCTCTCAAAGGAAAGCATAATCGCACCGTTCGAATACTTCGGGAATACTTGCAAGCAGAGGCTCAAGAAAGGCACAGAGTGACAGTAGAGACAAAAGATGCCAAATCAAGTGGTGGACTAGTGGAAGACAAACACCTGCCGGTATGTACTGTTTACTAAGGATTGGTACAACTACATATAGTTTCTCAGGCACCAGAGCAACCGAATTGGTGCGACTGTGGTGTCTACCTACTGCACTACGCCGAAGCCTTTCTAGCGAACCCCCTCAAAATTCTGGCTCTCCCAACGGTATGCTATTGCTTCTCGAGCACCGCACTCCGATTCTAAATTTGAACCACTGTTGGCTCCAGGGTGCTAAACGTGCAGATCCTCAGCTATACAACCAACTTTGGCGAGACGACGAGGTCAAATCGAAGAGAGATATCTTACGCGATACGGTTAACAAACTCTCGGCCGAATGGCTACAATCGAGGCCAAAAATCGCTCCAGCGACACAGACCGACACTGCCAATAGTCAGCAACCGTTGGCAGAAGGCGACGCGTCTATAATGATAATCGAGCCGCCCCAACTGGGGACCACTGCGAAAGAGGCAGCCAGCAACCCCCCAACATCACCAAACCCTTATTCACAACTCCCGCCCAGAAGTGGAGTTTTGCCTCCTATTCCCGATCCAACTCAGGAAGAGGAAGATGAGGTTGTAGAAATCGTCGATGCCCCTGAGACAGCGACCTCTAGTGATCAATCGTCTACTCGTACCAAGGCTACACGTAGAGGCACCAAAGGCGGTAAAAAGCACCAACATCCAAAGAGTTCCCCTGAACTTTAGGATTATTATCTTTCTCTGGGCACTACTTTCCATATCTCATTTATTCGGTCATGATGAGAATATGTATTTTTTAGTTACCATATCTATAATCACTCAATACATATATGCGCTCCTAAACAACTGCAGTTGCACCATTGTAGTAATGGATCGTCTGATCAGCGCATCCTGCGGGTGTGTTGTATGCGTACGGGCCTAAAGTCGCAAAGGTTAGGAACAAAATAGCGAAATGTAGGGAGAACCCACCAAGGTTGGCGTAAAGAACCTGCCCCTCCGTAGCATCCGTACAAGCGAGCCACGCTGCGTTATTTGGTCGAGTGATCCCGTCGACCGTCCTTGAATCAGAGCCCCCCGTTAGAACCTGCATGTGCACGTACCCTGGTACACTCACCAGATCAGTGCGTCGCCGCTAAACGCGAATGTTCCATACGTGCTGCTACTGGCCTTCCAAGAAACCTTCAGTTTAACAACTGTGGTGTCCGCGCGAACTTCGACGTTCGCATACAACAGCGCTCCACTTGGCGTGAGCTGAATGAGTTGGCCACCGGTCAAAGCGAATTGCCCTATGTTCAAACGGTACGTTAGATTGAGGGGAAATCGTAGTGTTTAATAGCACCCACCAGCGGTAGACGCATCGCCCAAAACGGCGTCCGTGGCCGTACCTGGGACGAAGGACTGCAAGTACTTGTGGAAGTTGGGCGCAGCAACTGCACGAACCCAAAGGTAGTTCGGCAAAAGGGTGGGGCCAACAGTGCCACCGCCGGTGACAGTAGTAGTAGCCTTGGTGGTGGTAGCGCTAACAGTGGTGCCTGTGGGCGTGCTGGTGATAGTTGTTTTTGTCGTGCTCGTCGTGGAAGTAGGCGTGCTTGATCCCGGAAGACACTGGTAGAAGTAGTCTACAAGTCGGTCAGATTAATGCTATAGCCCGACTGCGAGAACGATGAGCTACCATTCAATTTGGTGCAAGTTGCTCCTGAGACGCAGGTAGTCGCGCCACTCCAACCAATGCCACCACACTATATGCGTAGGGATTTTCTGGTCATTACCTGGCTGTAACGTCAGAACAGATATATACACACCTGTCCGTACAAAGCGCTCTGCCCGAGAACACCAGAAACCAACACTCCAGCAGTTAAAATTATCCTTCCAAGCATGTCGTCAGCGGAACAGAGAAAGTCAAAATTGCCAAGTGATGCGAGGCCAAGAGTCAGCCGTTTTATACCATGGCGCAGCGGTAATACTCTTGTTGCTGGGATAATTGCCGGTTGGACTGAACTCGCTTCGAAGCCAAGTTTCGCCGAGATGCCTATCCCGACAAAACTTCGGCGTTGCACACTTGAGCTGTATATTGGCTATGGCGGAATGCCGGAGGTAGGTCTCATCATACAACGAGTTGTGACTGAGGGCACGTGCGAGATGTGGTACCGACGAAGCTTTCCTTTGGGCACAGACAACTTTACCGGTTGTTCATTTGGTCAATCCATTATATCATCTGCTAACATGCGCTTGTCTAATGCCCGGGCTAGCTCCGCTGAGCGCACTTCACAGTCCTAAATTAGAACGCGTGAGCTTAGGGGAGCACGCGTCACAAAATAGCGCTCACCTTGATCAATCCCTTCAAATATGCGACGTTGAAGTCAGTAGAAGCGTTCAGCCAAGAGCTTAAAAGGAGAGGTGTTTGCGAAGAGCTAGTTTTTGGGTTCGGACACGAGAAGACCAGTGAGATTCGACTGGGGGCGCTAAGTTCTTCTGACAGTGTTGCATCAAGGAAGTGCACGGGTGGAAGCTGTATTTGAAGCGCCGTTAGACTCGGCGTTACTTGGCAATCCAATACTTACCATGTTATAGGTAATGCATACGGGCAGTGCCTCTCTGTCTTCAAGAGGCTCGCCGTCGTCCCAGTAGTCAGGTAGCTCAAAGTCTCCCGCACCCGACTTACCGCCGGCTGTTCAACACAGCCAGGTTAGAGTTAAAAAGACCATTCCTCTCAATTGTATTATTCAACGTACAAGTCTGGTGTCTAGTTTTGACAGCGCTCGCAAACGCATCTCCTCCTTTTTGTGCACGATCCGAGTCTCGAGCGCGAAACGAAACAGGGTTCGTACTAAGACAAGCGTCAACCAAGTTTTTAGAGCCTGTTATGCCCACTCACCGTGGTATGCGCAGGTCCCAAAGGGCGCCACGCATAGCCATCCAAATCACATCCGTCAAGTTCCCATCGTCCGAGATCACGAGTGAGTCAATGTTTATGAGCCAAGACCTATGTCCCGGCACAATAGTAAACTGCGGGCTAGGCGTAAGATAAGGTGCAAGCGCAGCAGCGCACTGATTCGAGAGTTCCAGGGAGAGGTCGTCGATTGCTTGTCCCGAGAGACGCGGGTGCGACCCAGGGGTACTTCAAACCAAAATAAGTTAAATGACAATTGAAAAACAAGGATGCCCACCAAGTGACAGCTACTTCGATTCGTCCTCCGTCTTTGCCACCAGAGCCTGCATACCTTGACTCGTTCTTCTCAACTTCGAGCTTGATTCCGCTCCATACTTCTGTTCCGCCGACTCGAGCTCGAGCGCTGCCGTTGGTCGCGGGAGACACTCCAAGCTCCAGACTTATGGGCCTGTAGGCTAGTGCTGTGCGGCCATCTCCTCGTAGTTGGCTAGGATCAGACGAGGTAGCAAGGATCGAATCCCTGATGTAGGATGCCTCGGCTTTTGATAGCATGGTTGTGGTCTGAACAAAAAGGGTGGCTATGGCGAAGTTACATTTTACATGCGAGTGCTCTCAACATTCATATCCGTTTGTTTGGTAAGTACTTCAAGGCCGCCTGGCGAAATGGTATCGCGTCTGACTACGACTTGTATCTATCAGGAGATTGCAGGTTCGAGCCCTGCGGTGGTCATTTATTTTGCCCCTATCGAGCTGTCGATCAAAATTTACCGTGTGTCCGTCACAACCCCAAAAGTGCACACCCTAAGTTTACCACCACCGGACCAGACTTCCCTCGCGCCGTGGCACTCACCGCTCGCCCTCTTCTGTCAACCTGGCTTGATTTTGCTTGCTATTCGCTGCCGTCTTCGGGCTAGGTGAACTCTGATTGACTACGACAACTTGCCCAGGTTTGGACTTGACTCAAAGGCCTGATTACTCCGTGCTCCATCCACTGGGTCGCTTCAGGAGCAAGCCAACTTTAACTGAACCTCTGTGGTACGATGCCTCACAAGCGAGCGAAGAGGTCTGTAAGGGAGGCGGAGAGGAAGAATAGGTGAGTTTTGATCTTTGACATTTCTATTTCGAGCTTGGGCAACAATTGCAAACTCGGAGGGCGGCGGGCGGATGTTTGCACCACTGGGTGGCACCATGGCACGTCTGTGTGAGACTCCTTGAGAACTCGGGTGGTCATGCCCGTAGCTCCGTTTGACATTTTTCATACGCGGGCTTTTGGCGCGCCCGAGCAAACCGCAATTCGGTTCTGCACGAATCACAAGCCAAGGCTTCGATCACTTTTGCAATGTGATCGTCCGTGGCGCGCCCTCCGCTCTGTTCTTCATTTCGTGATTTTAGCATCAGCGCAACGTTTGCTACCCTATTCGAACATGACCTGCGTCTCCAATTTCACTCGTACAAGTTTCTGAAACTACTCTTCGTCTACGTAATATATCCGGGTTTGATACACACTTACGCTCGAGTGCGTCTGCTGACCACGCCCTGTAGGGAGACCGATCTAGCACCTACGCCTCTGGCAAACGAGCCAATCCCAAAAGGAATCGCCCGTGTCTTGGGTGCGGAATCCGTGCGCAAGGCATACAGGGCCCGTCGAGCAGATGAAGAGGCTGGGAAAGGCGGAAAGGGCACGACAGTGTCAAGGAGCAATAAGGAAGGGGCAGGCCGCCCAAAGGAGGAAGGCATACGTCCTGGAGAAACATTACGAGAATATAACCGGTGTGTGCGGGTGATCAACTTGGTTCTTGATCGGAACTGAAATAGGCTTTATAGGCGGGTTGAAGAGGCTCATCGACCGCTGGTGCGAGCAGCAATGAAACAAAAGGGCAAGGAGAAGCTGAAAAGCGGTGATGGAGCCAAGGAGAAAGGCAAAGACGTCAAAGGCGCTGCAAAGCGGAAGAGGGAGGCGGAAGACGAGGGCGAGCGGGAAGAAGAGCGGCCGGTGAAGGAGTTTGCCAAGTTCTCGTCGAGTGCGCCCAGGCAGCTGCACGAAGTGGCCATGGCGCCTCCAGTCTTGACCCGAGGACCACGGGGAAGTGGGGTTGGAAAGGGAACCGGTGTCGGAAAGCCTGTGGGAAGTGCAAAAGCACCGGTGTCGATGGCTCGCCAGCTCGTGCTAGAGCAAGAACGAGAGCGGGCTGTTGGAATGTACCGGGCGTTGAAGGCTGCAAAGCAATCGAGTGAATAAAATTGATTTGCTGTTGTTTTGATGTTCGGGGGCGCTGTCGGCAGGAACTGCGCACAAGCGACCTGGATTGGGATACGCCGGTGTCAAGGAAAAGATAGACTCGCTCAAACATGTCGCGCCTGAGAGGAATTGGAGATGCCGGAGATGCCTGATGGTGCCTTGTGATGCCAGGGTCGAGTGATTGGAATGTGGTTGGTTTGGGTGGGTTGACACTCTCGTTTCTATTCAGCACGGCTGGGGCATGTCCAGATGTCCTCGACGCAGCTGACTCCCTCCATGTCGACCGCATTTTCGCTGCCGTCGTTTGCCTCGTCGTTCGAGACCGCCATGCCGCCTCCGCCGTCGCACACGGCGTCGCCGCGGTCTGCACACTCGCACCCGTCTGCACACTCCCCACACTCTTCTCGCTCAAACTCTCGCGAACCTCGCCATACTCGCCATTTTCCAGCCCCGCGTCCCTATCCAGAGAGCAATACACGCACTGCAGCCCGCGACACACACTCAGCAGAGCGTCGCACACGCAAGCGACCCGCCCCGAGCGACGAACCCGACGTCCCACAAGGCCCCTCCCTCGGTCGGCGTCTCGCTCGTACCGAGGAGGACCCCGACGGCGACGTGGGTATGCGCAGCGATCGGTGGGTTTTCTGCGTGATATCTGCTCACAGCGACTGATATCACATGCAGGGACCAGGATGGCGACGATGAGTCCTCGGGCGGGTCTTCTCCCTCCCTGCCCCATGTCGCGGTCAAGGAGGAACAAGTGTCTGACGTAGAGCAATCCCCATCGCCTCCGCCTACACCAGCGGCAAGCGCAAACGTCAGGGCTCGTCCACTTGCAGCTCCTCCGCAACGCTACGCTTTGCCGTCTTCAAGCGCCGGGCCTCAAACGCATTTTGCGCCCACTCCCCCTGCTACTGCGCGTCGTGTTACCCCGCCGCACATTACGCTGCCCATGCTTCCCCATCCTCACGCCGGTTCCAGCTCACACATGACACTTCCGCCGATGAATTTCCCCCCACCCTCACCTTCCCACACCCAGCATGTTCACCCACAATACCAGTCAACAGCTCAGATACAAGGCCACACATATGGGGATCCTCAGCTCGCTCGCAAGCGCCGCCGCGTGACTATCAGCGGTGCGGCAGGCAACATTGCAGGCGGCGCCCCTTCGAAGCCTCTCCACCGCACTGTGCTCGAACGTGCAGGCAGCGGCTATGGCCAAACTCAGCTCCCTGCTCCGCCTGGCGCGAGCGCAGGGCCCAGCACTCCGAATGCCACCAGCGGCATGGTCTCACCTGTCGTCACCCCAGGTTTCAACATGAACTCTCCTGGTGCGCTCGACCAGGTCCGTGATACCATCGCCATTCGCATGGAGCAAAAGGCCATCATTGAGCTGAGGAAAAATGGAGGAGGTCTCGCTACTGTTCCCACACCTACTGCCCCACTGGGACGCACCACCAACGCTGGAAGCAATGTTGCTCAGACCCCTGTTTCACTTACGCAGGGCTCGCCCTCTGGCCAGAGCACGAACCTACCCGCAAACACGCTGCAAGCCCCTTCGACCTCACCCTCTCAGGGTCTTGCTCCTGCACCCAGCACCTCGACTGCTCCTCCGACCTTGCTGCCCAATCACACCTCAGACCCAAATACCCCGGCGTTAACGGCTCCGCCAACCCTCGCCCACCGTCGTGGCAAGAACTCGACCAAGCTTACCATTCACACTCCAAATGCGTCGATCTCATCCTCTCATGGTGGCAGCATTAGCAATACTTCTGGGCTGGGGCTCACTGGCACTGATCGTCATGGAGAATCTGGGCCTGGTCTTCGAGGACTTGGTGCGTCATGAATCTAACCGAACGAAGACGAGCTAATGATTGATTGTTGTCAGGGGCTCCCGGTATCGAAGTCGCAATTCGCAGCGCTCCGCCAGGTGTAACACGCTTCGACCCAGCGAGCATAGGAAGGCCGCAACCCCCTCTGCCCCCACACCGTCTTCCACCTCCAGCTCAACCCCAGCCTACTCCCTTTAAGGAACGCGCGGTGCCTATTCGCCGTACACACGCCAATAGTACTGCAGGCCAGAATGCACCACCTGCTCCCCTGGCGATCGTGGCACCTGGTCAACCGTTGACTCTAAATGCACCAGCGCCACCATCATCATATATTGCCACGCCAACCCGCGCGCAGTTTCCGCCATCCAGTCAGACCCCACATCATCTAACGCACCATGTGCAAGGGACGCCACATCACGTCCAGAATACGTCCCATCATGGGCACCTCACGCCCCGCACTACGACCCACCATGAAGCGGGTCTGATGCGTCCTCCAACCTCGCCTCCGATCTCGCGTGGCGCATTCATGGCGTTTTACGATGCGTACGCTGAGGTGCATACTTTGCGTGCACAGATAGATAGGCTCGAGCGGGAGGCTGACCGGAGGGTGGAGAGTGCTGTGAGGAAGATGCGGGAAGAAATGAGGGAGGAGATGCGGATGCTAAGGGATGAAATCAGGAGGAACCAAGATGGGTACGGACGTGGGGCGGATATTGGATATCCTCGAGAGCGGGATATGGGTTACCCGCGGGATAGGGATCCTGGTTATCCGCGCGAGCGAGAGATGAGGGACTACGGGCGAGAACCTGGTTCAAGTCGAGACCATGCACACCCACCACCTCGGGAGATGATGCGCGAACTGCCACCAGGTCCCAGTAGAATGGCTCACCCGCAGACGCGTCCCGGGATGCAACGTAGTGGCTCAGCGAGCGTGAGCCAGTCGCCGATGCAGATGGAGAAGCAGCTGCATCCCGCAGACAAGCCGTCTCTGCATTCGGACAAGTCGACGGATCGTTTACACCCGCATTCGCGCTCGCTAGCGATGCGCAAGTCCCCGGGTGGACGCGTGCAGAGCTCAATGTCGCCACCGAGTCGACCTCCTTCTGTTGGTGTAGGTGGAGGTGATGGAGGTGGCGCTGGAAAGACGCGTTCGGCCGGCAAGGGACGTGCGAGGAGCAAGTCCCCGGGGAATAAGTCTGGGTCTAACTGATTCAGTTTCGCTTACTTTGGAGCTGGCTTGGCGGGCGCTGGCTGACATAGCTCGACCTCGACGACGTACTGCCACGCCCTGCTTCTGAACTTGACTCCATGCCCCCCGTTCTTGGATATGTACGAATCATCTTGCGATACGGCAGCGGGCGACATACCCTTCCTTTACGAAAATCAAAAATCCACAAAAATCTCCGAGAAGACATTCGTTTTTCTTTCTTGTTGATACGTTTATAGAAACATACACTCTCGTTTCGTTCGCTCTGCTTTGATTTGATTTGCTACCACCCTCCTTCGTTCGTTCCTGCTGTTTCCTCAGCCGCTCCTTACTTTCTTCCTCACTCCAATCCACACCGGCACCGCTCCTTACCTACCAATGATGTCCAACTGCACCCGGGTGGGAGATGTGTATCCCTACTCCCTCGCACTGCTCGAATTTGTACCATAGCC